TCCATCTGGATCTTGAGCCTATCTTCTGGGGTGTTGGCTATTCCTACCATCTTGGTGTCATCTGCAAATTTGATGAGTTCCCCCTCTATCCCTAAATCATTGGTGATGATATTGAAGAGTACTGAATTTACTCTGGGGTACTCCACTGCATGGGATCCCATATAGATGGAATATTTGGAATTCTGAATCCAGTTTTGGTCGCCATAATACAAAAAAAAATGTTGAGACTTCAGAACAGAGGTCTTCAAACTTGGCATAGCTGGCTGGAGAATTCTGGGAGTTGAAGTCCACAAGTCTTAAAGCTGCCAAGTTTGGGGACCCTGCTCTAGAAAGAGTTCAGAGAAGAGCAACCCGGATGATTAGAGACCTGGAGGCTAAAATACCAGAGCCTTCTTCAAAAAACTGGGTCTTTGAATAATGTGTCCAAAGTAGGATAATTCGAATCTGGTCATTCCTGATGAATCTTTCAGTTCCCTTGCCAAGATAAACATCTTTGGCAAAATGCATGCATTGTTGGAAAATGGGTAGAAAGTTTCCATCTGTGCAAAAAAAAACCCAACAACAACAACAACGCAGATTGAGTCACCTACTTTCCAGAGGACATGATCTGACATGCTTGCCAGCCTAAATCAGATGCTGAATTATGGCTGATAATTTTGCTTGCTTCTTTCAGTTTGGAGACCGGCCAGCCAGTTTCTCTTAGTGCCGTGATCTACTGGGACTATGCAGCCAAAATGAAGCAGGCTCCCCATCCATCCCCCCCAAAAACCCAAAAACCCAGTTAATTCTGCTCCTCTGCAAATTTTATTTTTACTGGCCATGAAAACCGATGCAATACGAGCCTGCATTATATAGAATCGAGATTACGTAAATGTTAGTACCGCTTTATAAGAGCACACTTGGATTACTTTATCCAGTTTTTGGTCGCCACGATGTAAAAAAAGGATGTGGAGACTTTGGAAAGAGTGCAGGGAAGAGCAACAAAGAGGATTAGGGGACTGGAGGATAAAACATAAGAAGAACGGTTGCAGGAACTGGGCATGGCTAGTCTAGTGAAAAGAAGGAGTAGGGGGCGACAGGATAAGCAGTCTTCGTATACTACCTGCTCCTCCTCCTTCTACCCCTCCTCCTCCTCCAATCGTCCTTAAACTTGCAGTGGTCAGCCATTTTATAGGCACATTATGTGATTAAAGATGAGCTGCAAACAGTTCTGGTTATCGAAATGCATAAATAAAAGAAGCATTGTTATTCCCCTGAGCAGGTATGTCAGAAGCTGTGGTGCCTTTCCTTGAAAAATTTCCTTCTGTGAAAAATTCCGCCTCCACCCCCCCATTAAATAATGATTCTAATAAATGTTTCAAACCTCTTTGTGTTTCTGTCTGGGTGCTTCTGTGTTCCTGATCAATGTTTGTTACATACTTAATTCTCAGCAAGCAATGATATACACCCCATGCCTTAAATAGCTGTACAAGAAAGAATAATAATTTAAAAAAAAAACAAACCCACCCCAGCCCCTTCTAAACCAAAAGGAAGAATTGATTTTAAATGTCAGCAGAAAATCTCGGCTGTGCTTCGCATTCCAATTAAATCTGTTCTGGGCATCACCTTGACTTTTGTTGAATGCTGGGCAGGCCCGGCAAAACGGCATAGAATCCTCGAGGCGGAAGGGATCTTTGAGGTCATCTAATCCAACCCGCTCCTCAAAGGTGGGAAATCCAACTCAAAGGAACCCTGCAGGAGGGTTTTTTTATGCTTGTGAGCTGTCCAGAGGTATTTGTTTGAGATGGGCTGTCATATACGGGTAGTCCTCGATTTATGACCAAAATTGAGCCCAAATCTACCACCGCTAAGCAAGACATTTGTTATGTGAGTTGTGTGCCCCTTTTTATGGCTTTCTTTGCCGCACGGTGGTTAAGTAAACCACTGTGGTTGTTAAGTGAATCGTGCGGTTTTTAAGTAGATCTGGCTCTTCTCATTGACTTTGCTTCTAAGAAGGTCGCAATATAGGAAGACACCGTTTCGGGACACTACAAACGTCATAAGTATGAATTAGTTGCCAAGCATTTGAAGGTTGATCCCCCACAGTTCTACTCTTGAGCTACTGATATTCTCCCAGATTTCTATTCGTTTTCTCGTATTTTACACCATGGGTGAAGGTGATACAAATGAAGGAGAACTGTGGGAGTCCTTGAGCTTGGCTGTTTCAGGAACATTATCAGTGCTAGAAGGGAGTGGGCTTTGAGGAGGAGGAGGAGGAATAAGGGGTCCTTGATGCTGTCCTTGATGCTGTCCGAGCTTGGTTGGTTTTTTGCAGGCATTTCATGACACAACTAGAGAACATCATCAGGGCTAGAGGGGAGTAGGAGGGAGAGGGGAGGAGGAAGAGGAGGAGGAGGAGGAGGACTATGAGGAGGAGGAGGAGAAATAAGAAGACTGTAGGGTCTTTGATGCTCTCTGAGCTTGATGGTTTTCTTGCAGATGTTTCGTGACCCAACTAGAGAACATCATCAGTTCAAGAAGGCATGGGTTTGGGGGGGGAGAAGAGGAGGAGAGGAAGAGGAGAGGAGAGGAGGAGGAGGAAGAGGAGGAGGAGGAAAGGAGAAAGAGGAGGAGGAGAGGAGAGTAGAAGGAGGAGAAAGAAAAGGAGGAGGAGGAAAGGAGGAGAAAGAGGAGGAGGAGGAAAAGGAGAAGGAGAGGAGAGGAGAAGGAGGAGGAGGAGGAAAAGGAAGAGGAGGAGAGGAAAGGAGGAGGAGATGAAGAGGAGAAGGAGGAAGAGAAGGAGGAGGAAAGGAGAGAGGAAGAGGAGAGGAGAGTAGAGTAGAAGGAGGAGGAGGAGGAAAAGGAAGAGGAGGAGGAGAGAAAAGGAGGAGGAGATGAAGAGGAGAAGAGAGGAGAAGGAGGAAGAGAAGGAGGAGGAAAGGAGAAAGAGGAAGAGGAGAGGAGAGTAGAAGGAGGAGGAGGAAAAGGAGGAGGAGGAAAGGAGGAAATGAGAGGAAGAGGAGGAGAAGGAGGAGGAGGAGGAAGAGGAGGAGGAGGAGAAGGAGGAGGAGGAGGAAGAGGAGGAGGAGGAGGAGATGGAGAACTGTGGGGTCCTTGGGGCTCTCTGAGCTTGGTGATTTCTTGCAGACGTTTCATGACCCAAGTAGGTAACATCATCAGTCCTACCATGAATAAAAGTCACCAGTTTCTTTCACTCACGATGCTCAGGCCTGAACTGCCCCTTTGAAAAAACGCGAGGCAGCCTACTTTGGACCCAATCCAGAGATTAGCGAGAGAGATTTTCAAGTCAGATTCTGGGGAGCCTCAGCCAAGGCTTCAAATCCTCAAACAGATGCCTCCCAAAAGTCACAATATTTATAATTTTAAAAAGCAGAACCAGTGAGCCACGGACCTCAGGGGTTTTTTATTTTATTTTATTTTTGGTTTTTTTTTTTTTTTTAAATGCACACAGCCAATTCTGGAGTCTTTGTCTGCCTTGCTTGCTTCCATATGCCAAAGCAGAGCGAAAGAGAACTCATGACAGCTATATCTGGGTACAGTTTAAAAATATCACAGATGTCTCTGGATTTTGCTAAAAAAGCATTGATTAATTGCAGAGAATCGTCCAGCGTGTTGGAGGCTTTTCATTTATGTGTTTTTGGAAAAAATATATGACTCTGCGGCATTTTCTCACCGTGGCCTTCTCTGAACCTTTGTTCTAATTTTAAACAATAACAAGCTGGGACAGCAAAAAAAACCCCGAAGCACAGGCAGTCCTCAACTTACAACCATTCACTCTGTGACGATTCTGAAGAAAAAGGGACTTAACCATCGGTCCTCACACTTACGACCGTTGCAGCATCTTCATGATCACATGATCAAAATTCAGATACTTGGCAACTGACTCATATTTATGACTGTTGCAGCATCCCAGGGTCGTGCGATCGCTATTTGTGACCTTCCCAGCCAGCTTCCGATAAGTAAAGTCAATGGGAGAAGCTGGATTCACTTAATGACCACATGATTCACTTAGGAACGACGGTGACTTAAAGTTTGACAAGGTTGTAAAATCAGGCATGTTCTCATTCAGCAATGACCTTGCTTAGCAAAGGAGATTCAATTGCCAATGGTGGTCGTAAGTTGAGGATTGCACCTAACATGAAAACTAATCATGGGCCAAACCTCATTAAAATCTGGGTGTTGTCTCTGCAACCTATTAAGCAATGAGGCTGTCTAGGGAATTCTGGGAATTGAAGTCCACCCATCTTCAAGAGGCTGACTTTGAAATGCACTAAGTTAGATTGATAACCTAGCACAGGAGACTTCAAATTTGGCAGTTTTAAGAAATGTGGACTTCCCTACCCTGGAGGTTGCATCACTTCCTTCTTCTCTCAGTCCTCCTCCTCGTCCTCCTCCCCTCCTTCTCCTCCTCCTCTCCTCCTCCTCTTCCTCGTCCTCCTCCCCTCCTCCTCCTCCTTCTCTTTCTCCTCCTCTTCCTCTCCTTTCCTCCTTTCCTCCTCCTCCTTTTCCTCCTCCTCCTTCTACTCTCCTCTCCTCTCCTCCACCTCTTTCTCCTTTCCTCCTCCTCCTCTTCCTCCTTCTCCTCTCCTCTTCCTCTCCTCTTCCTCTTCCTCTCCACTCCTCCTCCTCTTCCTTTTCCTCCTCCTCCTCCTTCTATTCTCCTCCTCCTTTTCCTCCTCCTCCTCCTCTTTCTCCTCCTTTCCTCCTCCTCCTTTTCCTTCTCCTCCTTCTACTCCTCTCCTCTCCTCTTCCTTTTCCTCCTCCTCCTCCTTCTACTCTCCTCTCCTCCTCCTTTTCCTCCTCCTCCTTCTCCTCCTCCTCCTCCTCCTTTTCTTCCTCCTCCTTTTCTTCCTCCTCCTCCTCCTTCTCCTCTCCTCCTCCTCTTCCTCCTCCTCCTTTGTCGTCTTCTTTTCCTTCTCCATCTCCTCTTCCATCCATCCACCTTTCCCCCATATTATGGAATTAAGCGAGGTGGATTTGTTCATTGATGGATTACTTACGTTCAGTCAAGTGGATCTTCCTTGCACCCACTTCCTTCCTTTCTCTCTCAGTTTTTCTTTCTTCTCCCGAGTCCAATCTGCGATGATCAGGGAGTTCTTATTTTCTCCCCTGAATGGAGGAGACAGTACAGTACATTATAGGCTCTTAGCTTCAACAAGCTTAGCAATTCAGGTTGTCTTTCTCTCCCTCTAATTCCTTAACTACAGTTTGTCCTGGCTTTTCTTTTATGTCAGCCCAATTTTGAGAATACACGTAATGCTCAATTTACGATGACAATGGAGCCCGAAATCCCCATTGCTAAGTCAGACAACTGGCAGTTGTGCTTCGTTTAACGACCTTTTTTTTTTTGGTCACGGTTGTTAAGCACCGTTGTTAAGTGAATCATGCACTTGTTAAACGGAGCCAGCTTTCCCCCCCATCGACTTTACTGGTCAAAAGTTGGCTGGGAAGGTCGCAAATCATGATCTCTTGATCCCAGTATACTGCAACTATCATAAATACATGCCGCCTTACACAGTGTTCAGAGTTCTTCCACTTTAAGGGAGGACTCATCTTTATTCAGCTGAATAAACACGCTTGGTTTATGAAGACTAATCCGGACTCCGTCCTTTATTTTTTACTGAGTCACATCTAAACTCTTGCATAACCAAAGCTCCAGTGATGTAGCCTCCATGACACCAAGAGGTAGGCTGTTCCACTGTTTAATAGCTTTTTTAGCAAGGAAATTCCTCCTTTTTCATATTAGGCTCTCCTCAAGTAAAGATTCATCTATTTGTTCTTGTCCTATCAAATGAAAGTTATTAGGGATAATAACAAATACAAGGTATTTTGTGTGGGAAGTGATTGGTAGAGCAAGAAACACAAAGCTCAGGTAGGTGAAGAAAGAAAGAAAGCTGAACCTGACATATTGATTTGACAATTCTCATGCATGGTTGGTCTTTGGGGCCATTTCTGGAAAGGAAATCTTTCAAGCCAGCACAATTCTCTCCCCACAAACTAATGGCAGATGCAAACTGTTGATCTTTTTATTCTCATCATAATTGATGAGGAACGAAGAAAAGTAGCTATTAAGGCAGGTTGACCGATGTCGTGATGACACAGAAAATGAGTTTTTAATGCAATCTACACTTTACTTTGGCATCTTTTCTCTCAAAATGCTTTCCAAAGTTGCCAGGGCTCATGTTATGCTTGAGAAGAGAAACTATATTTGTAAATTATTCACTGTGAACATATGAGATAGCCACGTGAGTGGCATAAAAAGATTGAAAAAAAAATTGACCATGCATAGAGAGAAAGGATTCACTCTTTTTATCCATTTCTCTCCCTATTATACAGACAAGTTTTTCAACTTACTACTTCTGAGCATTCCCACAAAAGAAATTCCTTCAACATTATGTAGCTGATCTCCATTTTACTCATCATTTCAAAAAGGTATTTCCATCAGAAGAAATTTTAATTCTGTCTTATTTTGGGCAAAAGGGGAAAGCATCATAAAAAGTCCTTGGTGGACTTTTTAATAACTGCAGAGTTTTTAGAGCTAAACCACATGCAGTGCAAGCTTCTGTAAGCCCACTGAGAAATAAATGTTTTCAGATTCAGGAGGATTTCATCCCAGGAAAGAATAACACTGCCATTCAGAAAGGAGATGATGATGGTGGTTATATGCTAGTTCTTCAGATCAAAGTTACATAGACCAGATTGGTTTAGCGGTTAAGGCACCAGGCTAGAAACCATGAGGCTGTGATGTCTATGGAGACCCTCAACCCCAAGTTATGGTTGTCCCAAATGAGCTTTTTCAAAAGGCAACTGAACTTTTCTTGTGGTTTTTTTTTTTTCATTTGAAAACATTTCGCTTCTCCTCAAAGAAGCTTCTTCAATTCTGAACAATCTTTTGAAAAAGCACCTTTGGGATAGGAGACTATGAGTTCTAATCCCACTTTAGGCATGAAAGCCAAATAGTTGACTTTGGGCCAATCACTAGGAGACTGTGAGTTCTAGTCCTGCCTTAGCCATAAAAGCTGGTTGGGTGATTTGGGGCCAATCGCTCTCTTTCAGCCCAACTCACCTCACAGGGTTGGGGGAAATAGAAAGAGGAAAGAGTATTGTGTATGTTTGTCACTTTGACTTATTTACAAACATAATAAAGGCAGAATAGCAATAGAACTAGCACTTAGACTTATATACGATTTCAGAGTGCTTTTACAGCCCTCTCTAAGGGGTTTATAGAGTCAGCCTATTGCCCCCAACAATCTTGGTCCTCATTTTACCCACCTCGGAAGGATGGAAGGATGAGTTAACCTTTAGCCTGCTGAGATTCGAACTGCCAAATTGCAGGCAGCCGGCAGGCAGCAGAAATAGCCTGCAGTACTTCATTCTAACCACTGCGCCACCGCGGCTCTTAGAATAAAAATCTAAAAAAAAATAGTAAAATATTTTTCCCTTTGTTTCATTAAGGAAATGCAACAATCTGACTGTGCAGGACCAGTTGGGTTTCTATATACATAAAGAAGAGGAGAAGGAAACATGGAAAGGAGGAGAGAAAGTGTGAGAGAAAAGAAGCAAGAGGAAGGGAAGGAAGTGGAATAAGAGCCAGAAAAATACTCCTTTGACCACATTCATGTTTTGTGATTGGTTGTGACATGTGGCTCTGGATCGTTATGATGCCCAATGGTGCCCAATCTGGGGAATTCATCAGAATCTGCTTTGCCTCTTACAAACAGGCACACAACATATGATACACATACAAAAGAGATAGACTTCTCCTATTGACTCCAGCAATGTAATCACTACACAACAGCAGTTCTCAGTTACAAATTCAATGGATGCTTAACTGAATATACTCCCTGTTTGACATTTAAATTCCACTTATAGGGACTGGCTTACAGTCACATAAACCACAAAAGGAATTGTTTGATTTCGGTTTAGAGAGATGTGAGAACTAAGCATTCAGCAATCACAAGAAAATCTTGGCTTAACATTTACTGTGAATTAGGCTTACAATTTTTATTTTTGCCTTAAAAAATAACCCATGTTCCAGCCCTACCCTTGACATAATTTGTAACAAGGTGAGATAAATGTCATACGTTTGACAGAGGAGGTTATAAAGGTGGATGAGACAAGATCACACGTTGTTATGCCCACTGTCCATTTCACTGCACCTAAAGCCAGGGGTATCAGTAATGGTTTTTGTTTTTTTTTTTAAATCAAAATTGGGGCCACAAACACTCAGTTAAAAGCCTGTACTGTTATACATGATTGCAAAACAGTGAGGATGTATAGTCATGACTGCCTCATTGCCATAGCAAAAAAAAAAAAACAGTTAAAGGAATTCAACTGTGTGTATTCCAGGCATAGTAGCATAGCATAGAATCTATATTGAAGCACACTGTAAAGGGAAAACCTCTTGGTCTGGTGGATCCATGCCTGTCTTAATATACTGTATTTTTCAGGTTATAAGATGCCCCGGAGTATAAGACGCACCAAGATTTCAAAGAGGAAAACAAGAAAAAAAATGTTTGCCCTCCCCGGCCCCAAGGAGCATTCTGCAGGCTTCCCAAACCCTCTGCACATCCCATTTTCATGAAAAACGGGCCCGTTTTTGGCCTCCCAACCCCCCCATGTATTCTGTTTTTGCCCTCCCCAGCCCCAGGAGCACTCTGCAGGCCTCCCAGACCCTCTGCACATCCCATTTTCATGAAAAATGGGCCCGTTTTTGGCCTCCCAAATCCCCATGTGTTGTGTTTTTGCCCTCCCCAGCCCTCAGGAGCACACTGCAGGCCTCCCAAACACTCTGCGCACCCCATTTTTGTGAAAAATGGGCCTGTTTTTGGCAAAAACAGGACGCATGGGGTGGGGTTTTGGGAGGCCAAAAACAGGCCCATTTTTCACGAATGGAAAAAGTATGTCTTACAAAGTATGATACTTAGTGTGGTGGAATGTAGACTGGATTCCCAGAAGGAAATGAGTACATTCCAGAGGAGCAAAATATGGTAAAGTTTAATTTAGCTTGTGTGGGGAAAAAGAAAGAAGACCGTTGTTCCCTAGTAATTCTCCGTGTATATGTTTCATGGTACAAATAATTTACTTTAGATTTCTGTCTATAGGTGAGGAACAATGACAGAAAATGCTTAGAAGAACCTCAACATTTGGACTTGGCTTTCAGAGATATAGTCAAGATTTCCTCTCATCATCCAGCAGAAGTGCCAGATGCACTTGCCATGGCTCTGCCTCTAGGAACTTCAGAAATATCCATGTCATTCTATCACCATGCTCTGCATGGGTGTCGTTTAGCCACCTTTCAACCAGGAAGATACTTACATTGTTCCTTTGAAAATCAATCTTGTCTTCAGCCAAGAGCCTTGCTGTGAATCCTGAAGCTTCTTTCTCCATGCCTCTCCTCCAAGTGTGAAAGGAGAAGCTTTCACACTTTTGTGAAAACTTTAGTCACACTTTGGTTTATTTTCCTCCTAGTGTGGAAATTAAACTATTGCCCTTGTGATTTATTGGGTATTGTGATGCATATTACTGAATAGGAAAGGAGATGCAATATTTCTGTGTTCCTAACACAGATTGGCTTTATGTAAAGCACCCTGTTATTAACACAGCTGCCTGCAATTTACTGCTGGTTCGAATCTCTCCAAGGCTCAAGGTTGACTCAGCCTTCCATCCTTTCTAAGGTAGGTTAAATGAGGACTGCTTTAGAATAGCTGTGTCTTTTATGATGTAATTTAGTTTTTTTGCCCCCTAGGGTTATGAAGTCCTTTAGATCTCAGACTGACACACAGGAAACACATGGGCTGAATTTGTACACCAAGTGCTGAAACTAAGATTGGACAATTTATGACTCACAACATTAGGGGGAAATGGGCCATTAACTCAGCAGTGAATCAAGTCCTTGTTTAGAGCATAGGATACAGAAGCATTGGAAGGGAACTTGGAGGTCTTCTAGTCCAGCCCCTTGCTCAAGCAGGAGACCCTGTCTGTACCGTTTGAGATAAATTTCAAGCTCTGTTGTGAAATGCTTTCCTTCAACGAGTGCAGCCACTGAGTTTAATTTTTACTTTTCATTCCAAGTTTAATATTGACGTGTTGCGCCATGATGGCGGTGCTGTGTAGGAGGGCAAGCGAGGA